GCTGGGTGTTGTATGTAAGTGATGAATCACTGAATTCTACTCCTGAAGCCAATATTGCACTGTATGTTAACTAATTAGAATTTAAATAAAAATTTGAAAAGAGAAAAAGACATTAAAAAAAAAAAAAACTTCGGCAAATTAATGCAGGGACATCTTCTAACTGTATTTATGGTTGTGGATGTGTGATATAGTTAGTGTTCAGTTATTTGAATTTAAAATTAAACCAGAATACTTTTGAATTTTCATGAAAAAAAAAAAAGGCAAGTATGGGGCTGACAGTTCACAAAAAAGAATGGTGATTGAGGTTAGACAAGAAGGCAGAGGCCTGATCTGTAGGGCTTTCAGGTTAAAGTAAGGAATTTGGCCTTATTTAAATTTCAATGGGAAGTCATTACAATATTTCAATAAATTGATGGAATTAGATTTGTGTTTTAAAAGATAAGCCTAGCTACTGTGCCAATAATGGATTACAGGGAAGCAAGAATAAACACAGGGACATTAGTGAGCAGGTTGTTGGAGTGAGCCAGTCACAAGGTTAGGAGGTAAGGATGAGGGTGACATGGGCAGAGATGGTGAGGAGTATTTTGGAGTTAGAGCTCTCAGGACTTGCTGCCATATGTGGTAAGTAAAAGCGAGAGAAGCAACAAGTATGACCCCAATATTTGGGCTGAGCAAATGCAATGGTGGTGCTATTTACTTAACATAGGGAAATCTTGGGGAAGAGAACCCTTGAGAAGAAAAAACCTAGAGTTCTGTTTTAGACATAATAAGATATTATTAGACATCTAAGTGGGATGTCCAACAGGTAGCTGGATAAGCATGTGGTGTTCAGGGAGCTGGAAATGAACAGAAGGGAGTCCTCAGGATACAAGTGATACTACCAGACTGGATGAAATCAGTAATGAGAGTGTGTAGATGAAGAATGCTGAGAGCTCTAAAGCCCGCCAACATGTGGAGGCCTGGCAGAAAAATAGGAGCCAATCAAGGAGCAGAGGAGAAAGGGTCAGTGAAAAAGGAGAAAAGCCTAGAGAAGAAAATGTTTCAGGAAGGAGAGTGTCAAATGCTGCTGAGGGGGTCAAATTAGGTAGATGGGAGAATGACCACTGTATGACTGTCTGGGTGGGTGAGATGGGGGTCAGTGGTAACTTTGATAAATCTTTCTAGTGGCATGGTGGGAACCAAGGCTTGACTGGAATGAATTTAAAAGATATTGGAGATGAGAAGGTGTAGAGAACAAAAATAGGCAACTCTTTGGAATTTGTTTTGCTGCAGAGGAGACCAGAGAGTCACTAGAAGTAGGTAGAAGGGAACTTAGGGTCATGAGAGAGATTTCTTTTTCTCAAGACAGATGATTATAAAGCAAAAACAAAAAATAGTAGTGACAGAAAAACTAGTGTGAAAAGATGATTGCAGAAACTCATCATAAGCAGGGACAGTTATTTCTTCCATGGAGATGGCTGGCATGGTGGACCACATGGTAGTGGTGAGTTTGGTGATGGAAAGATGAGGTAGTTCTCCCTTGACTGCTTTGTTATACTACCTTCAGGTAAACCCACTGGAAATTAATTAGGGTTACAATGTTTTTCAAATATTAAATTTCTTCTGTGAGAATTGGTAAAACCATCAGACATTCTACATTAGTATGGATATACTTAACTGGCTTGTCTCTACTAATACTAAGGACCAGTAACCCTGAAGAAATGAGACCCTGTGAATTTAAAGATGGCTGCAGAAAGTTCAGAGCAAAACGAAGAAAATATGTTCAAACACTTGGCTTGCAAACAAACTTCTGGAATACAACCAACTTTTAAGCTTGTGATTGCTTGTATCACATTAGAACCAAGGGAAAAATGCTAATTTAACAGGCTGGCAAGCTGAATAAATTACTGTAAGTGATTCTACATTTAGTTTCTTGTTAATCTAAGTAAATTAGTCTGTGTAATCAGAATGAAGCCCAATACTAAATGTTATACTGTGGTTGATATGTTTATACAGGCAATACTGTACACTGTTTTAAAGTGTAGGAAAACACAGAACAAGGAGCATACACTTTCTATTGAAATTTTAAATACAGATATTCCATTTTACCAGGAGATCTGCTTCCAGGAAACTGCTAAGTGGACTTATAGTCAGGTAAGATTCAGGAATACTGGGTTGATGAATTGTGGACTATTTTCTTCTGAGTGCCAAGCAAAAAAGCTTCCTGGGAACTCAGTTAATATTTGATAAATACATACATAATCATATGAATGGAAACCAAATATTGCAACTTATTCTGAAATTATTTGGCTTCAAATGATTTTTTGTCATCTCCTCATATTGAATATATATTCTCAAAATACAAATATGTGCCATCACTGAGGAATTCAAAAGAATGTGCCTGAGTCTTGGGAGGTGAACCTCAAAGAGGAGTTCCCAACATATTTTGCCAAATGGCAGCATGTTTTGTACAGGTGTCATCTCCCAAGTCAGTGTTCTGAAGAGGCTGATCCTTGCTTTGATGTGTATATTTTGGGAGGCTTGTAAAAAAACATAACATTACATTTGGAGTCAAATATTGTATAGATTTCTCTAGTTCTAAATATTTAGCAGTGACATTTATTTTTCCTTTCTTTGTAGTTTCTTTTTTTCTCCATTTTTTTCTTACTATATTTATGTTTTCCTTTATATCTTTGAACATTTTTATAGTAACTTATTTAATGTGCTTGCCCCCTAATTTCATCATCTCTGTCATTAATAGATCTATTTTTATAACTGTTTTTTTTTCTATTTATGGATCACATTTTCCCTTTGCTGTGAATGTCTATAGTAATTTGTGTTGCATAGTGGATGTTATAAATATTATATTGGTAAGTGTCTGCATACTGCTGTCCCTCTTTAAAGAACACTGAATTTGTTTTGGCAGCCATTAGGTTTATTGTGGAGCAGCTTTATCAGTTGTAGGTTTTTAAGCTTTGCTAAGGTCGATCTAGAGTAGTTATTACTACAGCTATATTTTAGCTCTCTTCTGAGGTTTTATCCTTCCTGGATCACTACTGAATAGTCTGTATTCAGGGAAGCTTTTTCACTCTGGCTGCTTTTTAAAATTTTATTTTATTTTTTCTTTTTAGAGAGACAGAGAGAGAGAGAGTATGGAAGCAGGGGAGAGGGGCAGAGGAAGAGAGAGAGAGAAAGAGAGAGAGAGAGAGAGAGAGAGAGAGAGAGAGAGAGAATCTTCAGCAGGCCCCCTGCTCAGCATGGAGCCCAATGCAGGACTTGATCCCATGACCTTGGGATCATGACCTGCGTCGAAATCAGAGTTGACACTCAACTGACTGAGGCACCCAGGTGCCCCTAGCAGTGGCATTTATGATACAACTTAGCAATGTTCTGTTATTTTAGAGTCTTAAGAAGTTCAGAATTAACATTCAAAATTAATTTTTCTGATTTCAGAGGTTGAAGTTAGGTGTTCCTAGAAAGTAAAGCAACTCATAACTGTGTGAACAGAATTCCAAAATGTAAGCTCCAACAAGTGCTTTGGGAAGAGGCAGCCTCAATGGGATGCCATGATTAATTCCAAATGTGATTTTTCTAAAGGGAAATATTTATGTGTATTTCTTCTGGAGCAATTTGCTTAGCAAAGAACTCAACCTTTACATCATATTTGATAATGCCATCTCCATCCTGGGAGTTCCATGAAGGCTTACAAATTCTCAAAGGAATGGATGACAAGAAGGCATATTTTACCCCTACATTCCCACATTCAGTAAACTGAAGTAGGGAGAAATTTATTTGGGTGTTTAACTTAGACTGCCTGTACTGTATCAGTATCAGTATTTTACCAGGTAGACTGCACTTAGAGATATTAAGTAACAAAAAACATTTAAAAATTTTCCCAGCATGTCTTTCCCACCATGTGATTTAGATGAGAATGTACTATAAACTAGGCATCTTTCTGGCTAATTTAAGTACATAACCCATTTACAGGGTTTAAATATTTGCACAACTTACATGAACATGCCCTCTGGGGTCATTCGTCCAGCTTGAATTAAATAGACTCCAAATCGAAACCCCACTGCATAGGCAAAATATACAAAAGCATGGCTGAATGCATAACAGCTTCCAACGATCTGTGCTTTCTTCAAAGTATTTCTGAAAAGCATAAAATTTACTAAATAATGGGACATGAGGTATAGCAAGGTAATTTAAATAAATGTAGAGTAATGAATACAGAAGATTAGCCATATTATCATTTAAGGCCATGTTATATATCATTAAGCCATGTTATACATTTTTCTAAGAATGAGAGAGAAAGTGAGTTTTTTAAAATAATGATTATTATAGAGAAAACAGAAAACATAATGATTCTCTCTATAGCTATACACTCTATAGCTCATTGTAACAGTTGCCTCTGTATACTTTCAAATGAGAGGACAAGTCTGTGAATGAACAGCTAATGAGACTTGGAGAGATTTGGTTTTGAAGCATTTAGAAATATTTTCTATTGTAATCTTTCACTAGCACAAAAAATAGTGGAAATTAAAAGGTGGTATCAATCACAAGCATGAGTGTAAAATAAAATAGTACAAAGCTATCTCTCTGATAAAGTAATACAAATAGTATCATTAAGTAAATGTGATAAGGAGGACTAGTTTAAAATTAAAAGGAGTGATCACATTTGTTATGTATACATTCATTTTCAAATATGAACTATTTTAGAGATTCAGTATAAAGGGCTGAGCAATCTTATTTTCTTTCTTGAATATGTTATTTCCTCAATTTTGTTTCAGGAAAATAATAAAAATGTGCATAGTTCATAGCAATGTGGGAGGACCTAAAATTTTCTACTTGTGCTTGTTCTCAGTTCTCCTCTTGATGAGGTCATATGAGAAATTCTGATATGCCATTATTAGGAAAGATTCCAGAGCAAATGAATTGGCAGGCAAACCACTGAAGTCATCCAGGAAGGCTGCCTTCACAGGGACAACTATAGTTAGTGAATGGACTCAGTATGAATCTACAATCACCTGTGCTGTGTCTGAAGCATCTCCTCGTATGTTCGCTCAAAGGCTTTTTCTCTTGTTAATGACACTATAGTCCGAATATTTCCCACAGCTTCAGTTGCTACCTTATAAAATAGGACAATAAGATAGAGAAATAAGATTAGTAATGGTTAACTTCTCTGTCTGTGAATTCCAGTCACTTATACTGGGGGCATATTAAATAAAGCATTAAGTCAATAAGTTTTCCTGACAAGTTTTCTTAGCTTCTTTTTTTCTTTCCCAAAAACAATACAGGAAAATAACATTTTAGGATAATAGGCTCAAGGACGATTTTTAAAAAGATTTAGTCGGCTGATCTAAATTCAGTCCCCTTCAGGTCTTCACTGAATTTCTATTTAAACTGGTTCCAGGGGTGCCTGTGTGGCCTTGTCGGTTAAGCGTCCGACTTTGGCTCAGGTTATGATCTCGCAGTTCGTGGGTTTGGGCCATGCATCGAGCTCTGTGCTGATAGCTCAGAACCTGGAGCCTGTGTCTGCTTCTCTCTTTGCCCCTCCCCTGCTCACACTCTGTCTCTGTGTCTCTGTCTCTCTCTCAGAAATAATAAATGTTAAAAACAATTTTTTAAAACTGGTTCCATAGTCAGAGAGATCAAACATTAGCATTATGTCATTTGCAATTGTGCAAAGGAATTATGAGATAATTCAAGAAGACAGTAAAAAGAATCAAATAATTACTTACTTGTAATTATTGTCTGACTCTAGCACAGAAATGCGAATAGCAACCCCCCAAAAAACTCAGAAACACTGCAGTAAAGTCATATGGGTATGACTATTAAATGCTGCATAAGATACAGCCATTTCTCATTTTGATGTTTGTGAACTTAAAAGATATTTAATTCATATATAATTAATGATTTTCCATATTTATATAATTTTTGAAAAGAAGATTCCTTCTTTTAATCACATGGGATCCAAAATGGAAGAGACTTTTGGCTTAGAATAGCTTGTTGGACATGAGAACACACGTTGACTTGAAAGAGAAACTTCCTGCTTTCACATTGTTTCTAGAATGGCAGAGTGGATTGAGGGACAGAGGAAGACCTGGATGGACGCCCAGTGTTATTTAAAGAATAGCTTGGGTTACAGGAGAGAATCAGATTTCTGGAGGTGGGCAGGACATCCAGATTCTGCTCTCAATTTTGACTTTGAGTTGTTCTAAATTCTCATTAATTTCAAAGTAAACTCAAAGAAACCTCCATTTGTAAAATACTATGTAGTATGCAAGAAAAATAGGTGAAAGTGCTAAAACCTTGAGGAAAAAAATGAACAAAAAAATCTTTAAGTCTGAAAAGTAAAACATTTGATGATTTGTCCAAATCTACATATGCAACTGAAGAAGGACCAATGTGCTTTATTTGGTATTTGGTAAATAGATTAAAAGCTACTGAGGAAGACACAGACTGTTTGTTTGATTAGAGTTACTGATTGTATAGTCTGAAGTTATTTTAATAATATGAAAAGGAAAAATTAAGGATACATATACAATTAAAGCTCATGACATAAAAATTAGGATGAGTAAAATACAATCAATTAGGGCCCCATTAATTTTGGAATTTGTGATAATTTTCACCACAGGGAGGGCCAAACAACTTTTCACTGTCTCTGAGGCAAATGTATGCTAAATAATTCAGTCTCTACTGCCCAGAGATTCCAAGTGTCCTCATCTAAGTCAAGAAAGGTAGAAAGGTCCAAGGGTCACACAAGCCGAATTTTGATGAGTCATGTGCTTGGCATCCCTATTCATGAATATTCATGCTATTTATAGTGTGCCAATGGTGATAGTCACTGTGATATAGACCATAACTGGTATTAAAATCATTTCTATAATCAAAGGATGTTCACCCAAGTGATAAAGGTCTTTGAAACTATATCATGAGAGGAATAGCTTAAAGACCTGGGGATGGGTGACTAAGAGGAGACTTGGCATTTAACGATGTGGCTTCCTAAAAGCTGCCACAAGAGGGGCGCCTGGGTGGCGCAGTCGGTTAAGCGTCCGACTTCAGCCAGGTCACGATCTCGCGGTCCGTGAGTTCGAGCCCCGCGTCAGGCTCTGGGCTGATGGCTCAGAGCCTGGAGCCTGTTTCCGATTCTGTGTCTCCCTCTCTCTCTGACCCTCCCCCGTTCATGCTCTGTCTCTCTCTGTCCCAAAAATAAATAAACGTTGAAAAAAAAATTTAAAAAAAAAAAAAAAAAGCTGCCACAAGAAACAGGCTTTGGACCTCTACTGAGATGAAAGCCAAGCAATGTAGAAGGCCACCAAAAACAAATAAGTAAACAAACAACCTCCTCCAAAAAACCCCCAAAACAACCCCAAACTGCCTACGAGCCAAAGGCTATTCAAAGGTAGGCAGCTTGAGAAAGTAATGCACTGCCTACCACTGGAAGGAAAGGACAGGTAAAAGACAGACAAGGGATTCCTTCTTTAGGTAAGTGGTTGGATTAAATGATATTTCTTTTAATTCTTACATGTTATGATATTATAATACTAATGTTTCCCTAAATCTCCAATAGAATGATTTATTTTTATAAATAATGATTGATCCTGAGAAGCTTAAATATGACAAAGCATTTTCCCAGTATTTAAATTATTGTTCATTTTAATCGGTATAAAGATGGTCCTTGTTTCTAAAGCCTTATTTTAGGCACTATCAATAGTAGCAAATTGCCTTATTTTCAGTAACTGTTATATTTCCTCCTCATTTTGAAAAATAAAATAACTAAAATCATTTAAGAAAATTTAATTACCCAACAATCAGAGAATGGGGAATCATGATGTTAGCAAATTCCCCCATGGTAATATGGCTGGCACCACTGAGTGCTTACTGTCTTCCAGACACTATCCTAAAATGTCTTACATAGAATAATGCTAAATGTTATATGTACTACTTACAAAAATCTGAAAATGGTATTATTATTATTACCACTTTACAGAGAAAGAAATTGAAGTTCAGAAAGGTTGACATAACTTGCTCATATGATACATTTGTTAGTGATAGAATCTGAATTCTAATTCAGCCAATTTGACTCTAGGGACTATGTTCTAAATCATGAATCCTACTACTATAGCATGTCTACACCCCATCCTAAACTAGTCTGTATGCATTTCAGTGAATGTACTTTACAGATTCCTAAGAAAGAAAGTTAACATACTGTAAAAATGGGAACTCTCATTGTTTTCCTCTTAAAATGTTATGATGGTAACAAGTCTTTATTTTACCTTCCCAGCACGCTTAAATTCTCGCTTATCCTTATTGGCAAATCCAGTTATAGCTGTGGCTTCAATCATTCCTGTCAGAGCAAGTATTGGAGCAATACTCAGAATCAAGAGTGTCATCTCCCATCCATATATGAAGGAAATGATAACTGACAGTCCCATGTTAGTTGCATTTTGTGTTAAGACACCAATCCTTGAACCTGTTACCTATAATCAGACAGATTTGGGGGGAAAAAGTCAATTAATTTTATATTTACAAGAATTTCTGTTATAGTTTCTTACAAGACAGGCTTTCTTTTTTAGGATTTATACTTACATTTTTATTTTGAGCTTGTACTTAGAGATTAAATAATACCCATACTTTAAAAACTGTCCTCTACTAAGGAGTGATTATGCTTTGTTTACTTTATGTTGGATATCATTGTCCTTTGACATGTCCCTGTCATTCTCTGAATATGTCCTTACTTTCTTTCTTTTTTTTTTTTTTTTAAATTTTTTTTTCAACGTTTATTTATTTTTGGGACAGAGAGACAGAGCAGACGGAGGGGCAGAGAGAGGAGACACAGAATGAGCAGGCTCCAGGCTCTGAGCATCAGCCAGAGCCTGATGCTTGCGAACCGGACACGAGATGTGACCCGGTGAGCTGAGCTAACCGACTTTCGCGACAGCTTCCCCCCCCCTAGACTTGCTTTGGACACAAAGGGTTCTCGTGAGACTCTATCCCTGGAATCTAACATTTCTTCAAGATGTCCTAGTTTCTTGGACAAAGTTATTTAGAAGTAAATATATGGTGTTAGTTGTGCTAATTATTAATGGAGTATCAGTGGACAGAACTGGGGTGTGTGTGTGTGTGTGTGTGTGTGTGTGTATGTGTGTGTGTACAGATGTATGCACAAACTGAAATCTGTATTTTTCTGTTTATGTATCTTGAAGTCCATGAATTCACATCAATATCTCCAATACCAATCCAACACCACAGAGTTATTTTCAGTTTTGTGCCTTCTTATATTTGTTACCCCCATTTGCAACAGTGATAAACCTGGCTCCCATCTTTAATAGATTTATGTGATCAAGCTCTCTGTAGATAACCAATCTGACATCATGGCCCCTATTTATCTCTTGTAGGGATACCCTTCTCATTCTGGTCTGGCGTGGCTTTCCCACACCAGGCTGCCACCACACAAGGAAGCGTAACTCACCATATGTGGACTCCAAAAGCCAACATTCCCCTTTCTCCTACAATGATGGAGGAGCTGGCACTCTTGGTCACTATACCACAGTAGTGCTGAATTGAATGATTGATACTATATATTAAGAGGTATGCTTTGGATATTGTATCTTGTATTCCATTTTGAGCATTTTATAATTTGATTTCATTGAGAAAAAGTCTAAAGCAGCATTATCAAGATAGAAAAGGAGTTGGAAACATCATGGTAAAAGGTAATTTAAAGAAATTCTAAAAGAAAATCTCAAAATAAGTAGAAATATCTTTATAACTATTTTACAAGAACTAAATGTCTTATGAATCAACTTTCAGTGGGACACATGATAAGTAATAAACTGAAATGTTAAATTCCTTTAGTGCTAGGATGAAAAAATGAGAACCCCATTTACCTAGAAAAACAGGTATAATCAACAGAGATATCAATTCATATTTTAAAAGATTTAATTTGTTATGATCATGAAAATATGACCATTGGAAAAGGTTTGGATTATGTTAAAATTTACATCCTTTCAAACAAATACACAAACATATTCAGATTGGATTATTGTGTATATGTAGCTTTGTATCCTGCTTTTATCCCTTTACATTATACTGTAAGCTTTTTCCTGGGTCACTGAATAGTCTTCAAAAAATATTTAGATTGCTTCCAACTTTACTAAAATAGAGACGTAATGAGCACCTTTGTGCATAATTTTTATGCTCATTTTTTATTTCCTAATGTTGAAAACCTAGACTAGAGGTATATGTTAAAGGGTATACATTCTTACATTCTTGATATTGTCAAATTTCTTCTCTAGAAGATTATATCAGTTTTTACTAAAGTACCCCCAAATTAGTATCATCATTACAAATAACAACAATAAAAAGCCCTACCTCCCTAAAGGCTCTGTCTTATTCCTAAATAAATTTTTTCTAGCTTCAGCTTCAAGACTGTATTTGGTAATCTGCTCTTTCCCCTTTTCTTGATAAACTATTAAAGAAAACTCCAAAAATGTAAAAACAAGTAACAACTGCAAACATCAAACAAACCATTAAATAATGAAAACTAAGACAACACATAAAGTATTTTAAGGGTCTTAGCATGTTATACATTAACTCTAAGACCTATCAGGCTGAAATATGAATGTCATTTGCTACTTAATACTGATTTACACTCTGTCTCTTGACAGTTGAAGAATGATGCTGGAGATAAAAGATGTTGAGATGTATGTTATGGGATGGATTGTGTTTCCCCCCATCCCAAATTTACATTTTGAGGTCCTGACTCCAAGTTTCTCAGAATGTGGCTATATTTGTATTTGAGATCTTTATTTTTCGTTTATTTATTTATTTTTGAGAGAGAAAGAGAGAGAGAGAGCACGCTCACAAGTAGGGGGAGATGCAGAGAGAGAGAGAGAGAGAGAGAGAGAGAGAATGCGTGAATGCAAATCAGGCTTCAGGCTTTGTGGTGTCAGCACAGAGCCCAATGCAGTCTCAAACCCTGCATCAAACAAACTGTGAGATCATGACCTGAGCAGAAATCAGATGCTTAACTGACTGAGCTACCCAGGTGCCCTGGAAATGAGGTCTTTAAAGAGGTAAAGTAAGTTAAGTTCAAATAAAGTCTCTAGTGTGAGCCCTACTCCAGTATGACTGATGTCCTTATAAACAAAGGAAATTTGAGGCACCTGGGTAGTGCAGTTGGTTAAGTATCCAACTTCAGCTCAGGTCATGATCTCACAGTTCATGAGTTTGAGCCTCATGTTGGGCTCTGTGTTGACAGATCGGAGCCTGGAATATGCTTCAGATTCTGTGTCTCCCTCTCTCTCTGCCTCTCTCCTGCTCACACTCTATCTCGCCCTCTCTCTCTTTCTCTCAAAAGTAAATAAAAATTTTAAAAAAATTTAAAAAAAGAAAAGGAAATTTGAATGCAGATAGGTACTCACATATGGGAAGGACTATAGGAGGACACAGTAAGAAGATAGCTATCTACAAGTCAAGCACAAAGGATTCAAAATGAAACCAATCCTGCTGACACCTTGATCTTGGACTTCCAATCAGAACTGTGAGGAAATAAATTACTGTTGTGTAAGCCACCCAGTCTGTGGTAACTTTTGTTATGGCAGCCCTAGCAAATGAATACACTTAACATGTTCCTCTCCTCCCACCTAGCTGCCTTTTAGGGATGGTGGTAGAATAAGAAGAATCTGAATTTAGTTTTCCTGTTCCAGGAAGAATTAACAGAAAAAACAGACATTTGGCCTTGAAAAATATTACAAGAACTGAAGGAAAATAGAACAGAGTCTTAAAGACCTAGAGGATAATGTAACTCTGAAAAGAATTTAGGACTGGAATCAGAGGAAATTTAGTTAAACTTCCATAGATCCTTTAGCAACATGCATGAATATACAAATTTTTCTTGGAAATTAAAAACAGGAAGTCATGATTAAATAATTCTTGAGATAAGAATTGTTTATGGATTATTACTATATCTATGGAATTTTGCTAAATTTAGAAAATACAACTTTTGTAAGAAAATGATAGTGTACAAAGAGGGATGGCTAGCATAAGAAAATAAATGACAGAAAACTCAGTATGCAATTGTAGAAAAAAAATTCCATATGATAGGATTTCTGTTTCTGGTTAACATGGAGTAACAGGAAATAGATTTATCCTCCCATCTGAAACAAAGGCAGAGATGGGAAACAAACAAGGTGAACCCTATGATTGCCCCAGTTTGGCCCTTGAAAGAGCTTCCAGGCTAAAGTGGAGGGTAAGTGAACTAAGACAGAGCCTAACAGACTCCCAAAGTTAAGTAGATAAAACTGAGAATCTGGGGCATGGAGAATCTCAAGGAAGCTAGAGTTTGCAGTATAGAACACCAGAGAAGAGAGAGGTACACAGAAAGAGAAATATGGGTATCTGCAGAGGGTCCTTCTTGAATATTCAGCTAAGTAGTGCATGTGTGAGGGCTGGGAATAGTTTCCAGTCACACCAGTCAGACTGGAAAACTTCATATCCTCATAGGGCATTGGGTAGAGTATGTAGAAAGGTCTTACCTCAGTAGGCTCTTGTCCTAACAAACCTTAAAATAAGACCCAAAAGGATTAGACTGTTCCAGGTAACTGAATTCCAGAGGAAAAAAAAAAGAATATTTCTAGAAATATAAAAATATCCAGCACCCCAAAATGTTATATTTACAATGTGTGCCATCTTGTAAAAAATTACCAGATATGCAAAACAGCAAAATAGGACCCATGATGGCATAAAAATCAATCAATTAAACTAACCCACAACTGACACAAATGTTAGACTTAGTAGATAATGATATTAAAAGTTATCATGGTATAACATATATTCAAGAAGTTAAGAGATAAGGAACATACAAAAAAGATCCACATCAAAATTTTACAAAGGCAAATTTCAGAGTCCATAAAGTTTTATTGGAGCACAGTCATGGTCTTTCTTTACCTATTGTCAGTGGCTATCTTAGAATTATAATGATGGAATTGAGTAGTTGCTAGAGAAACCATATGTGCCACTGTCCTCACTTTGTACTGTTGCTCAGTGTGCTACAAATCTGTGATGCAATTATAATTTGACAGCATGTTGAATGCCACATGAATTGCTATACTGTGACATTGTATCTTAGTTTTAAAAATTACCATTGTATGTACATCATCTAAAAATAAGAAAGGAAGAGAAGAGTAGACTTTGAATGTCCTTTTAAGGCATAATGGACTGTGGATTACTTTTTCTGATCAGATATCACAGTGTTGTTTTTATTATGCTATAAAGTACTACATAGTACTAAAAATATATAAAATAGGTCAACATTTTCAGATGAAGCACTCATCATTATATTCTTAATTCACAAGAAACCAACATTCAGAAAATTTGGAAAATTTTAAGTGGAATATCTGATTTCAGTAGAATTTCTTCATAAAACTGAAAAGTGAAAATGAAGCTGACACCAAAGTAAGTTTCTGAGTGGCTCATTCATTAGTTAAGCAAAGAAAATCAGTTATGGATAATGAGTTAATTAAATCATGTTTAATTGCAGCAGAGGAAGAAATGTGTTTAGTGAGCTTAAACCTATTATCAGATGATGATTAACCTTTTGGTAAGAACAGTTGCTCAAAAAGTGGACAACACTGCAGCAACACCAACAGCAATAAAAAACCAGGTAGCTTTTTTGAATAGTTTTCCCTGGCTCTTGATGAGTTGACATATGTTACTGGTACTGGTACTGGTAAATCAGGAGCCAATGCTGAGTTTGAAGTGACTAAAAAATTTGTTACTATGAATGGTCTGTGTGGAGCAACTACAGGTGATAATATTTTCAAAGAAGTTAAGAAAAAATGAAGTCATTATAAACTGAAGTGGAATCTACTAAGATATATTACAACTGATGGTGGTAAGATTTATAGAGTAGAAAAAAAAGCTTAGTTGGACAAATTTACAAACTGTGAAAATGTAAGATGTTTAAAGCCCAAGTTTATTTCCTGTATTGTTTATCAGCAGGTATTTTGTGGAAAATAACATCACACTTTATTGGACCAGTATGGTCAATGGTGAAGTTCATTTACTCTTATAGATTTAACTATTTTTATTTCTATTTTTGTGAAATATGGAAGATGAATATCTTGACTTGTCTTACCACACAACAGTTTGAGGGTTTAGCAATGATAAGGTTTCACTGAAATATTTTGAGTTCAGGGTTGAGACTGAAATTTTCCTTTACAAGAACTACCTTTAACCACTCTGGCTTTGGATATTAGCTTTTGCTGTAGACGTGGTAATGTTTCTTAATGAATTCAACCTAGAGTGGTAAGGCAAAACAACAATTACTTGCCAATGTTATACTATGGTAAAGTCATTTTGATGATTGCTAACGTTTTTTGAATCACAAAAAATATCAAACTGTTTTTATATACTTCCTATGTCAAAAAGTTAAATCAGGAAATGAGGTCACTCCTGTCCAGGGAATGATATTCTAGTTCTACCTAATCAATTCATCTGGTTCTTGGAATTAATAAATGAAGTTTTTATGATTTCTTGGGGCTATATAATTATAGTTCTGATGAGAAGAATTCTTGGAACTAACATTGTATCTGTCAGTGGTATATCAAGTGCACATTGTGGCATGAATAACACACTTTCTTGTGGACAAAAATGAGGTAACACTTTTGGGTGATAAAAAGGGGTTGCTAAAATATACAGAAATAATACCTTGTAATTTTGTGGAACCTAGATTCCCAAGGAATCTAAAATGGCTTTGTACCTTTAATAACACTATATGTTACACAGAAAATAGTCTGTTGACAGATGTATGGCAATAAGCCATAACCTTGGGCTGAAATAATATCAGTTAAATTGGTTGTATTCAGTAAACTATTTCAGGAATCATGTTGTTCCATGACTTTATTTTACTAACATGTTTTTCTCATGACTCTCATAGTACCAGAGTTTCTAAAAATGGCTAAGGGTGGGGCGCCTGGGTGGCGCAGTCGGTTAAGCGTCGACTTCAGCCAGGTCACGATCTCGCGGTCTGTGAGTTTGAGCCCCGCATCAGGCTCTGGGCTGATGGCTCAGAGCCTGGAGCCTGTTTCCAATTCTGTGTCTCCCTCTCTCTCTGCCCCTCCCCCATTCATGCTCTGTCTCTCTCTGTCCCAAAAATAAATAAACGTTGAAAAAAAATTTTTTTAAATAAAAAAAAATAAATAAATAAAAAAAAATGGCTAAGGGTGTATATATTTTTGGCCATTAGTAAAGGTTACAAAATAATATTTACTATTATTAAGGAGCTAGTTTGTGGACACTTATGCTAATATGTATGATAAAATAAAATTTAACTGAAATTACATGATGAAGAAACTGAAATGGAATATGCCTTAAATTGATACAATAGGAAATATGACCCCGAATAATTATTTCCTAATTCATCTCTAGTCTAGTGTGTGTTTGTGAGAAAATACATAGTAGATAAACAGGATTGGTAAATAATTCTTCCTTCTGCAGAAAGAGTATCCATTCAAGTTAGATACGAACCTACCTTTATATTGCAAAGCAAGTGTTTGTGTGAATTAATTACATGGTAGTAGACATAGACTTACTCTTACAAAACTTCTTTTCTTATTCTGCTTTCTAAATTCAACAGCTTTAAAATCTGCCATCAGTAATTCAATCATTTATTCTTTAGCTATTACTTTTTATTCAATGCAAATGGTCTTACTTGCCCAGAAATTATTATGAGACCAACATTTACAAATTGGAACAAGAAAGTTCCCAGTGATCAAACAGAATTAGTCAGATGCTTGTAAGCAATCAGGCTGACAAATGTTTTCATTAATTTTTCTCAATGAAAGACAACACTATTTGTTAAAAACAACTAATGAATGTAAGGAAAGTAATGTTGGTCTTTCAGTTCTAATTTGTTCTTTTGGCTGAAGCAAATACTTGCTAAAAGAGATGATATAATATATATAAAATATGGCTGCTAGCAGAATTTCACTGGGATTGTAAAAATGTTGAATGATAGATAGTAAGAAAAAAAGAGCACAGTAAAGAAAAAGAAAAAAAATGGCAAATTTTGTGGAATGGGGATTCTACTGGAATTATAGGGATATTTCTGCCTAATATGTGAACCCTACAATTCCTAAACATAGAAATTGTCATTCTATTATGCTATGTAAGATTAATGCTACGCTCCTTACTTAACTATTAAGTGAATATTATTCATGATTTTTTCCACTTATGCGAGTAAAATTGATTCCTTAGCCTTATTTAAAAAAATTAAATTTTTTTTAACATTTATTTTTGAGAGACAGAGAATGACAGAGAACGAGCAGGGGAGGGGCAGAGAGAGAGGGAGACATAGAATCTGAAGCAGACTCCAGGCTCTGTGCTGTCACACAGGGCCCCATGCAGGGCTCGAACCCACGAACCAGGAGATCATGACCTCAGCCACCCAGGTGATTAACCGACTGAGCCACCCAGGCGCCCCTATTTTAAAATTTAAATTCTATCTAATAAATTTAGGGCATTGTCTTCCAAATAATGAAAAGAGTTCAGAAAAAAAAAAAAAGATGATGCCACTTTTCCTCTTGAACTCTTTCTACATCAAAACATTAGTTTTGCAAACCATTATGGATGCACATGAATATTAACTGTAACCAACTTGTTCTATTATTTGGTAATACAAATCTACCCTTAGAAGGAAAAACTACACTTTCTTCTTTTATTAAAACTTCTAAATTGTGTGTGTGTGTTTTCATTTTGTTACTTTTTCTAGTCTTACTATTTAATTCAGAGCTCTTTTCTCTAACTCATTTGTAGTATCTTCTTTAGTCCTCTGGTTATCCTATTACAATTGCTAAATCTTTTTTTCCCCCTTTTTTCCTATTTTTTTATATGAATATATATAGTTGACATACAATGTTATTATTAGTTTCAGGTATACAATGTAGTGATTCAATGAAATCTTTTTTTGTTTTGTTTTGTTTTGTTAAAAATATCCAGAACTGAAAGGTTTCCCTCTTTCCTTTATTGAGAGCTCCCAGTTAGTCTTGAGACTTGCCTGGTCGCCTTAAAGATGTGGGTAATCTTAGTATAGCTCACAAATACGCACTGACACATGTGTGTGTACAGGTATGTATGTGTGTACACATACACACAGAATACACACTCCATTTAAAAATAAAAACAATGTACATACTCCTTGGATTTGTGCTATATCCATGGCTAATATTGTTGTCAAGGCTCCTGTGCTGTTTTCCTTATCATCAAACCAGGAAATATCCTAGAGAAAAAGGAGAATTAATATACGGTTATCAAAAACAAGACAAAACAAAACAAAACAAACCAAACATTGTTATCAAAAAGATTGTTCTCTGATTTATGATTCTGCTCTAAGTCAGAAGGCATTTACCTTCTCCCTCACTCACAGGTATTTAATTCTTATAAATAGTATGGATCAAATGACTTTTGTTTCTTACTTCACAAAGATCTATACTTAGATACAAAATGAAGAATGTAAGCCCAATATCTTGGAACCATTACCAATGCTACAGTACTGTATAATAATCAACATCAAAAATGGTCATTTTGAACCACTAAGTAAGTTGTAATTTCAGTGAAGAGCAGACTACTTAAAAAGGTAATGCACAACATGATTTAGAAATATTTCCACAGCTCTCTATCTAAACTGATTAATGATAAAAAGTCTATCTCCTCTTTAGGACCCACTTAGGCAAGATTTTCCCTGATACTTCATATTACTCCTGAGATCCTATAACCACTGGGCATTGCGAGAGGCTAAAGAGGCAAAGAGGCTGATGTAAAACCCCTGTGGCCAAGAAGCATGCAATCTGAAGGAGACAGGTCAAAAATACAAGCAATAAAAGCATAACATTATAGCCAATTTCATTTTCAACAGCAAATAGAGATAGCACTTCTTAGCAGTTCTCAACCTGAGGCATTCTGATTTCCTTTTATTAGCTATTGAATGTTTCCTCCCACTGACTCAAACCACTTAGATCTCTTGTGGATTAAAATCATATGGAGCCTGTCTCTGAAAAATGACTTATTTTTAGTAAGTGAAAAGCCAAAGAATTGTTGGCTTACAGCTCAGCCAGAGCCCGGACACCCAGGTTACATGTTTCAGGCAACTAAGGAAAAAGAAGCATAACAGATAGAAGGCTGTGCATTAATCATACAGTTATGTGAGAAGAAAGTTCCCATGGAGGAATATGACAAGAGAAAGGGTGGGCACAACCCCAGCATGACAGCACTACTCTGTAAGCCCTTGCATTGGGAAGCTGTCCCAAAGAGTTGAGGGTCCAAGATGCCCAAAAGGGCATCCTACAGAAATCACAGTCTGCACTACCAATTGTCCCTTTGAAAACACAGCCCCACTCATGAGCCTAACATATTGTGAACATACATCAGCAATGATAATAACTATAGCATTCTTGAACTGGAAGACATTACCGGTTTTTTTTATTGTTATGCTAAAAAAAAATTAAGATAAACTTTACATTTTCTAATTATTTCTTTATTTAAACACGGTATGGAACACACAAAGAATTTTTAGATACAATGTAAAGTAAAAATGTAGAAAGATAATTTATTATGGAATATTACATTCTTGATTCTAGAGTATCTTCCTATAACACACTAGGTATAGTATATATATGTGACTAGTCTTAGTCATTATCTGATCTTCAATCAGCAAAATGTCCAAAATTACTTTCCAACAAGTCAGTATTGTGTACTCTAGGCACTGTATTCCAGCATATGCCATATGTGCTAAAACATTTAAGAGTTTCTGGAACATAGCTGGTGTCAAATAAAATTTGGCTTGCTTTCTCTTTTTCTGATGGTAAAATGATTGTAAGTAAGGCTATCAGGTTTTTTGATAGTAGTAAATCCATTTTTTTCCCTGTCAGTAATACGCTAGAAGTAAAAAATACAATAACACTATGATGCCTACACATTTGGTATGTATTTTCTCAATCAATCATCATAACTGTATGAGGTAGATACTATGAATATCCATATTTTATAAATGAGGAAACCGAGGTACTGAGAGATTAAATAACTTGCCCAAGGCCACATAGCTGGCAAGTGCTAAGGCCAGGATTTGAACCTATGCAACCAAATGCCAGAGGTTTTATTCAACTATCCTGTTCTATCTCCCACTGAACTGAAGCATTACAGTTGAGTTTCATTACCTGTTTCTCCTGTGTCAGGACTTAATACCTCAAAAGCTTTTGGAAGTAGCTTTTTGAGATCCCTTAGTGCTTACCATTAATTCTATCATCTCATGATTTAAAGACCCCCCAAAGAAGCCCTAGCCAATCTAATGTAAAGAGAAACAGGCAAAAATACGTATCTGTTCACAAACCCAACAGATCTACAGGTCAATATTTATCATTAGGAAATATAAATTTAGCTTTGAACAATGAATTATTTACAACCATTGAAGTCAGCAACACTTAGAACATTCTTTTCAAGTGGAAGGATGTCAACTAATCAAATAAAATACAGATTTTATACCTATAAAAAGACCACACCTGATTCCATAAATACTTCTACCTCAAATGAGGTTCCAAACTAGTTATAAAAACAACACAAGTCTCAGCATGCTTCTTAAGCCTTAGAAAGCCTTAGGACAACAACACAGGTAATAAGAGTTAGGCTAAACTGCACATTGGGAGCACCCCTTACTATAGACAAAACTGAAATGGGGAAGATATTTATAAAGAAAAGGCCAAATATCCTATTGTTCCCCCTCCATTTTAAGAAAGCAAAGACAAGAAACAAAAAAGAATGCTGAAGGATACAGAGGGAAAACAAACAATCAGCTGGAAGGGGCTGAGTTGAATTTATGGGGGAATATAATAACATCTGATGAATAGTGCAGAGTTTCTGTGTGTATCTTTGTGTGTATTTTTGCAGGACCAGAGTTTTTGGCTTAAAAACTGGGGGCTTCTTATGGGCAGAAGCTACTTTAGCCTAGAGTGTTACTATCCAGCTATTCACTTGACTAACATTAAGAAGAGGATTAATGTCTAGTATTAACCATCAAGATACTGGATTAACAATAACCACTAATTAAACTGGGTGCTGGACTTGAGACTCTTCTACCAAAAGCACACTGAATCTCTAGAAAGGCAGTTCAAAGTAATGTTTGGTTAAGTTATATATTCTTTTGTTCAAAACATTCAGACATTCAGAGAACACTGTCGAAAATCCCTAGAAATTAAAAATAAATTTCCTTGAATATGGAAACATATAAACTCATAAAGAAAAACAAAAATGAGCAGAAACTGTCAATAAGTATGAAATTTTGATTAGCTAATTAAAATTCCACTTGATTTCAAAGATTTGAGGTAAAGACATAAAATGTTCAGAAGTAAAAAAAAAAAAAATTAAAGTACAAGTTTAGCTTGAGTGAGTTGTGCAGGCATTCACTGGTTTTATAATCCCTCAAGTAGATTTTTTTCTGGCTTAAGGAGAGTCTCCAATTATCTCTGATAGGCCTTTGACCAGAATGTCAGGCATCAACCACTTCAGAGCATCAAGTTGCTATGGGAAACCTTGCACTAGTGGGGTTGAATTTTGTATCTTGTAGTTTCCCAAGAGCACAAAGGCCTGGGCATTTTGTTACGCGGCAGTCCTCTGAGCGCTACTGCTAAAAGTCACAAGAGGTAAAAACTGGTTTTGACAACTCAGCTGGTGTGACAGTAATTCTATTTCTGACAAGAAATGAACTTGGCAGGAAGCTATTTGCTCTTGCACAGGGAGCTCTGGTGACAGAAAGTATGATGAAGGGCTCCAAATGATTACCGGCTTTCAGGGAACCCAATACATCTCAGCCTCCTGAAAGAATTTTAGAAGTGCCAATCTGAGACATTCCTGCCATTTGCCCCTAAGACTCACTTCTCAAGATTACTACTTGATCTACCTATTTTTAGTTATTTCACAGGTATGACTGATCATCTATATATGGCAGGCCAACCCGCCAGCTGGACTGCTACCTGAATTCAGGACTCTTCTGATGAGGACAGAGAGACTGACTGCTTTCAGAAGTGGGGAGTGAGGAAACTTAAGCAGTGCACATGGATGATAACTAGAGGAATTAACTCCTCCTTTTAAAAGATGTTCCCCAATATACTGTAGCTCTTAATTCTTCTTTTCAGTTTTCATTTGGTCTTTCAATCTGATCCTAGTACACTACATTATCCATTAAAAAAAAAAGATTTGTCAAGATAAACGCAAGGAAAAAGGAATGGACTCTAAATATTGTTTTCTGTAAGTTGTATTTTCAAACATAACAATTTTGGACTTGCTTCTATTAGAAAAATAAACTAAGAATTCTAATGTCAGGTGTTGATGGGAGCACAAAAAGCACGCTTTCAAAGGATCAAAGGAAAGATTATGTGAAGAAATTGACTTGAAAAACTACAAGAATATTTAAGAACACATTTTAAATAAGATAAATGAAACACTGACCTGATATAACATGGTTTTAAATGCCAAATGTCTTAATCTCATGGTTAAAATTTCCCCTGCTCTGCCATAAAATAATCCCTGGAAAACAAAAGAAAGGTATATTTATTCTTAACTCTTTTTTCTATTTCTTTGTAACAGTTAATTACTATATTTACTTATTTATACTTTATTATATTTTGTTGTTATTTTCAACTCAGAGAGGATGACATAAAAAGTACTCATGTTCAAACTTGTTTAATTCATTAAAAGCTTACCTGAATGAAATAACTGACAAAGCAAATAACACCCAAAATGACAAATATCATGGAATAAATCTCTGAATCATGCTTTAATGTGGTTTTATCATCATTTTCAAACATCTGAGAAAAAACAGATTTTTTATTCAGGTTATTGGAAGAAAATACAAAAGAAAGAGGAAAAACTAAAACGTCTATCCATCAGGAATTTTTGACTGGATTTCAACATAAGAAAAAGATTATATATACATTTCCTGGGGAAAAGAACTGCACCATTATTCTATTCACTACATTCATTACATATGATAAACAAATGATTTGCTGTCAATTTTCTCACTTAGGCTATGTAAATATGAGATCAGACAATGAGATTATCACAGTATATTTTCAAAGAAACTACCAGTTTGTTTGAATTACTATTTCTATTAACTGCTAATAACTTAGGTTTCTTAATATTATTTTATTTAAGGTATTGACCTGCAGTGTGAGGTCTTTGTACATGTCCCTAGAAATTGTTCCTATAATTAGTAATTATACATATATTGGCATCTATGTTGACACAGCATAGCTGTGCAAATCTGGGACTGAAGACTTAACGTGGCTCAGTCCTTGAATCCAGCAACTCTCCTGAGTCCCTCAGCACAATCCCAAGCTCTTGTTATTTCCTCTCCCTCGTGAGCTGACTGGTAATAAAAAATGGCCATTGTTTGGACTAGTTGAAAGAAGAGTAGTCGTCTTTGTCTATTTTATTGCTTCAGTGCTTTGGAATGCTGATACGGCAGTGGAGTCAAAATTAGAAAACAAAGTAATTTCTTTACTGATTGCCCAGTCAACAAGGCCCAGCCAAGACTTCACAATAGAGGCTGGCTTATCCCCTGAGAACATTAGTTAACCTTCCTATCATGGATCCCACACTATGGGTGACCCACCACAAGTCCCAATTTCCCCATTGCTGAGTCAAAGTACATCAGGTCTGTTCTCTCAGGCTACACTTTGTTTAAAATTGTTAAAAATATTAGCAAATTAGCTTTACTTACAGTTATGATTTTTGCAAAGATGATGGAAAATACTGGATGAACAGCTCCATTTAGAATAGAAGCCAATGTCCCCAGGACCACAGAAAGCCATTCAGACTTGTTTAATTTAAAAATTTTTAACATAGAAACTTCAGGAAGACTTGTCTATGAATAAAATACTTTGGTTAAAACCTCAGTTTGAGAACGTAATGGAACCTAGAGAAGTTAACCAATCTTAAACAGAACCAATAATGTAAAATATCAAATATAATTAGGAGACAAGAGTAAAAGTAGAATATATCTTAGAAAAATTTCACCACCCATATTACCTGATGTCCTCAACACATACAGGAATCTTATCCCAAAGTGACTCTCTGAGCAATTTATCCTTTTGGTATTTCACTGTTACTATCATTTAAAAATTACAGATTAACTCACAAGTTCTGACAGCTAAGACTCACTGAAGAAATGACAGTCATATATTCTTTATTCCTGTTAAACTAGATGGAATATTATACCCTAAGATAAGACAAAAATCTAGGTAGAAATGAAGCAAGACAGAAAGCAAGAATTTTACTAGCTAGCATTTCAAGCTTGAAAGTTTTCTAGTTTCATGACTTATTGACAGAAACATTTATCTAATATCTTAATTTAAAGCTTGTTTTGGGGTTCCCATTTGTAAATAAAATGCTGCAATATCTGAGCATATCACTTAAACTTACCAAGCCTCAGTTTCCTCATCTTTCCAAGGGGGATGATATCATTTCCTATCTTCTTGGATTGTTTTTAGAATTAAGCTTAACTCAGTATTATTACAGAAGAAGGATTATATGATGCAAAATCCTAGGTTTTATACAGAGAAAGCACAATACAAGTAACCATTCTGTCAGCCCTCCCAGTGGAGAGGTAGCGGTCACAATGATCAGAGGATAAATAATATGATAATGATTTCTCCTTACTCTTGTCCAGCATGCATAGTGGATTTATTTCAGAAATCTAAAATATCTTACGGTTTTGTAGTGAGTAATTATTTTGAATAGGAAAGTAGACAGCAAACTACTAGGCATTTCTTTTTTATTTTAATTAAAAAAATGTTTTTATGTTTACTTATTTTTGAGACACCTAATGAGAGAGAGCACAAATTGGGGAGGGGCAGAGAGAAGAAGATAGAGAATCTAAAGCTGTGCTGTCAGCGCAGAACCCGATGCAGGACTTGAACTCACGAACTGTGAGATCATGACCTGAACTGAAGTTGGACAATTACCTGACTGAGCCACCCAGGTGTCCCTAGGCATTTCATATGTTAAAATCGTCTCTTGGCATTCACTCTAGAAGTAATGACATCTGTGAACCTAATAATAGGAGAATTCTTCGGGAATGATTATAAAATAGTCGTAATTCTTGTGTTAATCTTAGTCTGGCAACTATAATGTAAACTCTTTTGTTTGAACAATAGAACTTTTAAAGTTCTAAGGTATTTATGGTCTATTTTTAGGATGGGTAAACCACAATTATATTGGGTTACTGAATAATCTATTTCCTTTCTAAAGTTTTCTGAAGATCATCATCACAAAAAGCCTCACTTTTCAGTTAGGTGACTGTCCAATATACAGAAATGTATTTCATTTTTTATTTTTTGAAAATTTTTATTAAAAAAAAATTAATGTTTATTTTTGAGAGAGAGAGACAGAGTGCGAGCAGGGGAGAGGCAGAAAGAGAGGAAGACACAGAATTTGAAGCAGGCTCTAGGCTCCAGCTATCAGCACAGAGCCTGATGGGGGGCTTGAACTTATAAACTGTGAGATCATGACCTGAGCTGAAGTTGGATGCTTACCCAACTGAGCCCCCCAGGTGCCTCAGAATATACAGAAATTTAAAAAGTTGCATACCAACTCTGTCAAGCACTGAGCACAGATTTTCTGTCAAATTCTTTATAAAATTGCCTCATTTTGCAATGAAACTAAGACTTAGTGTGTGCCAGAACATAATACCAGTAAATTAGAGACAATAAATGTAGGAGGGCTATCTCACTCCTACAGAATAATGTATCTTTTACCTTTTGAAAAATATACAATAACAGGTTAAATGAGTGTTACTGAAATAATGTTATAAAGATAGAAAAGAATAAAGATAAGAACAAAATGAAAGTAAGATCATGAGTTTCCATGTTATGTAAATATGTTATAGGTTATTACATGTTTTAAGAGAATCTGATATAAAAATATATGAAATTATAGGCATTTTGTAAAGAGATACAGAAGGGCTTTAAAAAGTTAAACAAACCTTCCTAAAGAATTTTAAATTTCATACATTTTATTTTATTTTTTATAAGTTCATTTATTTATCTTAAGACAGAGAGAGAGAGAGAGAGAGACAGACAGACAGACAGAGAGGCAGAGAGACAGAGGGAGAGAGAGAAGCCCAAGGAGGTTCTGCACTGTCACTACAGAGCCCAACATGGGGCTCAAATCCACAAACTGTAAGATCATGACCAGAGCCAAGATCAAGAGTTGGATGCTCAACCAAAGGAGCCACCTAGGCACCCCTAATTTCATGTATTTTAGAGCTATAATGAGTTATTATAGTCTTCATATAACAGGATGTATATGTTTAAAATGTAGAACTTGGTAAGTTTAGACATAACTACACACCCATGAAACCATTACCACAGTCAAGATAATGAACATATCCACTACCTCTAGAAGTTTCCTACAGCCTTTTGTAATCCCCCTCTCCCACACCTCTCAGCTGCCAACCCTCTTCTCCTATAATCACGGACATGCTGTTACTACATATTATTTTTCATTTCCTAAAATTTTATATAAATGAAATCATACAGTATGTATTCTTTTTTCCTCTGGCTTCTTTTGCTCAACATAATTGCTTTGAGATTTATTCATAATACTGAATAAATTAACATTTCATTATTTTTATTGGTGAATGGTATTCCATTGTATGAATATAACACAATTTATATATTCAGTCACCTCTTGATATGAATTTAGGTCATTCCCAGTTTTGGGCTATTACAAGTAAAACTGCTATGAATATTCATATTCAAGACTTTGTGTGGACACATGATTTAATTTCTTTCAGGTAAATACCTAGAAAAGGAATGCTTGGATCAGATAGTAGATGTATGTTTAATTCTTTAAGAAATTGCCAAACTGTTTTCCAAAGTGAGTTTGCCATTTTGTATTCCCACTAGCAAAATATGGAATGCTTCTGGCTTCATATCACTGCCAACACTTGCTAGAGTCAGTCTTTTTAGTTTCCACCATTGTAATGGTGTGTCATGATATCTCAATTATGAGTTTAATTTGCACTTCTCTAATTACTAATGATGTTAGGCATCTTTTTGTGTGCTTGTTTGCCATATGCACATCTTCTTTGGTAAAATGTCTATTCAAATATTTTGCCCATTTTTCTTTTTCTTTTCTCTTTTTTATTTTTTTTTTAAGAGCCAGAGAGGGAAAAAGTGAGCAGGGGAGATGGGCAGCGGGAGAGAGAGAGAATCTCAAGCAGGCTCCACACTCAGCACGAAGCCTTAATGTGGAGCCTGGTGCAAGGATCGATCCTATGACCCTGGGATCACGACCAGAGCTGAAATCAAAAGTGAGACGCCCAACTGACTAAACCACCCAAATGCTCCTTTTGCCCATTTTTTCAACTGGGTTGTTGGTATTCTTATTATTGTGCTTTGGGAGTTTTTGTATATTTTGGACACAAGTCCTTTATTAGATATGTGACTTATAAATGTTTTCTCTCAGATTATGGCCTATCTTTTCATCTCTTAAAAGCATTTTACAAATAGCAAAGGTCTTGATTTTGGTGAAGTCTAATTTATCATATGTTTTTTTTTCTCTTTTATGAATTGTGCTTCTGGTGTTGCATCTAAGAAATCTTTGCTAAGGTTTTCCTACTGGATTTTCTTATGGAAGTTTTTGAATTTTAGGTTTTATAGTAAATTCTGTAATCCATTTTGAGTTAATTTTAATCTGTGATCTGAGACAAGGATTGAAGATGATTATTTTGTATATTGTTGATACAGCTATAGCATCATTTCTTGAAAAGACCATACATTAATTATTCAATTGCCTTTACTGTATTTTTGTCTAAATACAATTGACCATCTGTGTGTGGGTTTATTTCTTAACTCTATTCCGCTCTATTGATCTATTTTAATATAGCTGTATATTAAGAATTGGAATTAGGTAGTACAAATTCTCCAACTTTGTTCTTTTTCAAAGTTGTTTTGATTATTTTATCCTTTTGAATTTTCATTTATAATCAGTTTGTCAAATTCTACAAAAAAGCCTGCTGAAATATTGATTGGTATTGCCTTGAACCTATAGATCAATTTGGAGAGAACAGATGCCTCAATGATATTGACTCTTCTTATTTATGTACATAGTATATTCCTCAACTTATTTAGGTCTCCTTTCATTTTTCTTAGTAATATTTTATATATTTCAGTGCATGGATCTTATAATCTCTTATCAAATTTATCCCTAAGTATTTCATATTTTTGACAATATTGTACATGAAATTATTTTTAAAATTTCAATTCCTATTTTTTGATTTTTGTACTTTCTTTTTGGTGCATTCTATAGGATTATTTATATAGATAGTCATGTTGTCTGTGAAGAAAGACAGTTTTCTATCTTTCTTTCTTATTTGGATGCCTTTTATTTTCTGGCCTTATTGCACAGCCTGGAACTTGTGGCACAATGTTGAATAGAAGTGGTGAGAGTGTACATCCTTGCCTTGTTCTTGATTTTAGTTCCCTCATATTGAGAGTGATGTTAGCTATAGATTTGTTGTTTATGCCTTTTATCAGGTTGAGAAAATTTCTTTTAATTCCTGGTTTGCTGAGAGTTATCAGGAATAGACAGTGCATTTTGTCAACTGAATTTTATACATTGATTGAGATGATTATTTTTTTCTTAATAAGAAGTATCACATTAATTTCTTAATGTTAGGCCATACTTGTACTCCTTAGATAAATCCTAGTTGGTGATGATATAGTATTCTTTTTATACATTGTTGATTAGACTTCCTAAAATTTTGTTAGTAAGTTTTCCATCTATGTTCATGAAGTAAATTTATCTATAAACTTATTTTCTTGTAACATCTTTGTCTAATTTTGATACCAGAGTAATACT